AAATTGATTGCTTCCTTCTTTTCTTCGGAAGATTCCCACATTTTTGTATAAAAATGGAGAAGGCCAAATACTTTTTTCTCAAAAAATATGAAGTTTTATTTCACATTTTTCATGATGCCTTCAGAAAATTCAACAAAACTAAATTCAAAGCTCACAGGCATTGTTACTGTTCTGTTCAATCTGACAAGTACTAATTCCGTTATATAAGGTCTCTTAAAAAAATAATAATAATATAATAATAATGTTAATTTCCAAAATAAGATAAAACATTTCACTGGAATCAATGAAGCCCCCCCTGAGCGCCAATTAATTTTTATTGTTGTTGTTGTCATTAAAATTAAGTCAAAATTTGTATAATTGAGTTGTTTTGTAAGGAGACTTATAAGCATAAGTTTCAGAAATGAACAAAAGTACATCACTGAAGCCATGAAGCTTGTGCGTGATGGTGCATAAACAACACAATGCATCGCTATTTTACTAATAAAAATTCATCAAGGTGTAAAAATAAGGCACATACATGTATCTCATTAAGTTCGAGGTTGTACTTATGAGACACAAAGAAGCTAAAATATTACCCTAACTCAAAAATCAGGACGATTTTAAATATATATAACATTAAAAAACTAGTACTTGAGATGTTATGTTTCCCAATGAAGCAGATCCAGATATCCCCACTGAAACACTTTGGTTCCAACAGGACGGCGCTCCCCCACATTTTGGTATTAATGTCAAAGAATACTTCAATGATATATTTGCATCAAGCTGGATTGGACGAAGTAGTACAATTGAATGGCCGTCAAGATCCCCAGACTTAACGCCATTAGATTATTTTTATTGGGGTTATATGAAAGACAGGGTTTATCAAAATAGGCCGGCTGATATTGAAGATCTAAAAAGCAGAATTAGAGTGGAATCACATGATTTCTTGTGCCCTATTTCCACTGTAAATTAAAGTGGTGTGTCATCAGCAAATATTTGTAAGTTACCAAATAAATTTACTGTAGCCAAAGAATTGAAATATAAGTATAAGAAACAAAACAGGTCCAAGTATTGATTCTTGCGGTACCCTCCTTTTTTACTAATTATGTCGCTAATATAGATATATTGCTTTCTAAGCAGGTCTAATGAAAGAACTCAACATTTTTTGTTCGAATCTAAATCTAGCTGTAATTAGATTATGGCGTCTAATATTGCAGATTCTGTGTCACAATTCAAGAATTCTAAGGGCTGACGTTTTCACGAAAACTAGTGAAGTACTTGAACTTTATGTCATGAAATAGTTGCAGAAAACACGATTTGAAACGGTGAAAAGCTCGCATATTTTTGTGACAAAAAATTAATGGTTGGTAGCAACAAATGCGGTTATAAAAATGACTTGAAAAACATGAAGAGGAAAGTTCTATTAATGAAAATTTGACATTTACTGAAACTGATATCGATTACAAACTTGTTGATACCGACTTCTCCAAGACATTTGATCATGTGGATCACAATATATAACATAACATAAGACTATTCGGTTTCTCTGATCTGTCTCATATCACGGTTTAAAAGCTTCTTGACTGGCCGATCTCAGCAAGTTAGCGTAGGAAATGCTAGGTCAACTATCATTCATATAACGCCAGGAGTACCTCAAGCGTATGAATCAGTCTGTAGACGCATGAAATAGATTCTATGCATCATCTAATTCTAAATTTTCGAAGCTTAATATGTTTAACATCAGCTGGTAATGGGCCCCACAAACGATATATAAAGTAAACTTTTAAAGTCAAATACTCGAGGAATTTTCTCTGCATGTTTTCGAACATAATAATATGTGTGGTATACCTAGTGAGTACTCCATATATTTGAACAATATTCCAATTTTGATCTGACATAACAGAATCAATGCTTGTACTATGGAATTATATATCCTAGAGGCCTCTGAAAGTTAAAATCCACATGCTGAAAAAACTCAGTTCAGAATTGAAGACACTGCACAGGTCACAGAAGTATCTGATAAGACAGTTCCATTCAGATCATGAGGAAATTCAAAGAACATTTTCCTCATACATGTTCCTATTGCTAGACAACAGAAAAAAATAAGGGTTGAATTGAAATAGACACCAAATTCAAATAAAAAAAAATACAGTTTTATCAANGAAAATGCATAAACAACATACCTAAAACGGGCAGTCCTATCCTGAAAATATCAGCATCATATTTGGGAGCGTCTTCACCGTATACAGAATTGGGTCCTCCAGATATAATAATTCCTTTATATCCTCCTTCTTTTATGCTGAAGGCTGGCGTGTCTAAAGGGAGTAAATGTGATTCAACGCACAACTCCCTCACTTTTCTATCAATAACTTTCCCATATTGGGCGCCAGCATCTAATATGCAAATTTTCTCTGGATTTGAGCTTCCAATTTGAATGTCATTATGTAGTGAATTATTCATCATATCTCTTGAAAACCTAGGAAATAAATGAAACTATACTTTTTCAAACATTATTATCATATGAGATTATGAAATTATAAATAGAATTAAATCACTGCCATATGTTCAGCTATATCTCCATCAATGGGTGATATTAAGTACAATCCATGAAAATGTACAAAAATAACTAATATAGGGCACAACGTCAATTTCTAGCAGTTAAAGATTACATCTTGCAACTTTAAGACTTTCGTCTACATATAAATTTTTCAGACATTGCCAATATATATTACCTATTACCTGTCATTGTTTTAGCCAAGAGATATTGAATTTTAGTCAATTACATTCATGACAAGATATGGAAGGAACTTTCTTTGTTTTGCAATTAGGAATTCGTCTGACATATTCGTCTATAGGGCCAGGAAGACCAGACCCCCTTTCCCCCCAAATAGTAAAAAAGATCTCATATCCTAGCTGCTCTTCACAATAAATCAATAGACAATATACTGTCTGTTGAAAAAAATAAGGTTAATTTTCAAACTTTGCAGACTATGTACATTCTACTAGAGATTTTAAATTTTTTTTTGTTGAAATCGTATTGTAAAGAACGTTTCATAAATAATCAACATAGTTTTTCTATGAAAAAGTTTTCAGTTACCAACCTATTGGTGTCTGAGCAAAATATTATAGAGGTTCTGGAGAAAAGAGCCCAGATGGAGGCAGTCTATACCGACTTCTCCAAGACATTTGATCATGTGGATCACAATATATAACATAACATAAGACTATTCGGTTTCTCTGATCTGTCTCATATCACGGTTTGAAAGCTTCTTGACTGGTCGATCTCAGCAAGTTAGCGTAGGAAATGCTAGGTCAACTATCATTCATGTAACGTCAGGAGTACCACAAGGGTACGAATCAGTCTGTAGATACATGAAATAGAGTCTATGAATCATCTAATTCTAAATTTTCAAAGCTTAATATGGTCAACATCGGCTGGTAATGGGCCCCACCAACAATATGTAAAGTAAACTTTCAAAATCAAACACTCGAGGAATTTTCTCTGCATGTTTTCGACCACAATAATATGTGTAGTATACCTAGTGAGTACTCCATATATTTGAACAATATTCCAATTTTTACTGAAATTAGAGAAATATAAAGTTTTCAATGCTATAAAACTTGTACAAGTATGTACCATGAAATCATACATCCTAGAAGTCTCTGGAAGTTAAAATCCACATGTTCATTATTGAAGACAATGCACAGATCACAGAAGTATCTCTTGATAAGACAGTTCCATTCAGATCATGAGGAAACTCAAAAGAAAATTTTCCTCGTACATGTTCCTATTGCTACACAACAGAAAAATACTTTTCAAGAAAAAAATACGGGTTGAAATAGGTAACTACCAAATTCAAATGAAAAAAATACAGTTTTATCAATTGTACTCATATAGTTGACCTTCAAAACAATTTTTAAAAGGTAAATCCTATGTGGTTATCAGCAAAAAAAATAAGCATTAATTATGCCCGCCTTAAATGTCAAAAATTAATCTCATTAGTGTACTCACTGTTCACTGTACTTTAAATCAAATTTGCAAATTGACCTCTCGCAATAACTTAAAAACTACTTGGCATTGAAATATGATTAAAATGAAAAAAAAACAACTCTTCTTCTCCTATATATCACATTTGTGAGGTCTCTCTCTCTCTCTCTCTCTAAGCTAATGGCCGTTGCCACCATACACCGTACGTTTATAGGTTGTTCACGTTAGGAAGAGAATAACGTCACAAGATGACAAGTTATGGGGTTGCCAACATGCGCACTATTTCCAACTTTCAAATTTTTTGTACTGTTGGTATTTTTTATTGCTATTATCTTACTTACTTTTAGTATTTGTTGGGACTGTTTCGACAATGATTTAGGCATATTGAATATACGTAGGTCTTATAAAAAAAATGATTAGTTCTGAAAAGAAAAGAAAAGTTTTCGAGTTTTTTTCGATTGGGCAACATCAGTTGAGAAACTTACAAAATGAAATGTTACTAGTTTCATTGCTGTTGAACACATTTCAGTGGGAATTTTAACGTTGATATGTTGGATATTACCAAAAATGACGTCATTCTCTTCTTAACGTGAACAGCCTATACTTCTATTTCTATACGGTGCCGTTGCTTCCCACTCGAGCGCATTTGTCCAAAGCTCCTCCTATCAAATTAACATCAATTTGACAGAAGTTATGTCGGGAGGGCGCAGCGGTCTTGCTCGAAGCAATGCTGCCACTCCTTTTTTGTCACACTTTTTAATAATAAATAAACACAGTATTTTTTTATTATCGCCTCCTGCTCAGGAGGCGATAATGAAAAACAACAACCCACCCAGCTAATACCGCGCAGAAAGTTGAAGTAAAACCATCAGACACCTGTGCAACGTCTTCGATTTGGGAGATTCGTCGCAAATTATTTTCCACTATGAAAAGCAGAAATTAATTTCGTTTGGTCGATCCGACCCACCGATAGACCGATTTCGGAGTGATTGCCCCATCATCAGTACCGGGCATGGTAAGATATTTTTAGGAATGGAAGGTAAAATTGAAGCAGGTTTGACGAAAGCAGATTCCAGTAATCTTCCTCGAGTTACAGCTGAGATGGTTACAAATTATTCCGTAGAAAGTAAGCAATTCTCAAGTGTTGAATCACGCGGACAAAAACATACCAGGTAAATATTGTATTGCATTCTAGGCGCTGTTGCCAATATGTGAATTAGAAACAAATCCCTTCAAAAATCAAAACTCAACATTTGAAACATCAATAATTTGAATACTTTTCGAAGTGAATTTGAAAAACTCATGAATTGAACTCAACTTTATTTTGTTCAAACTTGCATTTGCTGTAATAACCCAAATTGAGGAACATTCCCCATTGCACAGACACACAAGCCTTCAAATATTAATTTCTGCGAGTCTTGTCAAAAGCACACCAATCGGCCCCGACGTTCACTGAAAACCCTAGGGTTAAGGTTAGGGTTTTTTATGAGCATCGACCAATCTGCAAGTGGTCGGGAGTAAGAATAATCGGGCTCTTTGCCCCACAACCCTCTACTTTGAGTTATAGTACTTCATTATTTTTCCTATCTTGCTTTTTGGGAGATCTGTTCTTAATTCGGCTTACACACAGATGACACTACTAGTATGATTTCAAATTAACCTCAGCCTTCAAATGACACGTGTACAAATTTCACAGCTATCGGACTGTTAGTTTATCGGATAAAGCATTTTGAGTGAATCAACTTTTGTTAATTCAGAGAAAACGGATAGAAATGAATTTCGTGGTAATAAAGCATTACTTTTTGGCAAAAAAATACTATTGAGGCCAAGGTTTGGCTTGATAAATGTTATTCGTACTCAACATCAGGAAAATCAACCGTTGAGAAGTGGTTTGCTAACGAAAGAAAGTGAAATTGATGTTTTCATTATTATAGATAATGCACTGTGTCACAAATCAATGAAAACGATGGCAAACTTGCATGAATTGGGGTTCGACTTGCTTCCGCATCCACCGTATTCTCTAAATATGCCCCTAACTACTTTTTTCTGTTCTAAGGCCTTTTTGGAGGCTACAGACAAATCGTACTATAAAAATGATATCGAAAAATTGTATGACTGCTACATTTGTTGTATCGCCCTTGAAGACAACTGCACTGAATGATAAAAAGAAATTTCATCAAAAAACACTTTCAGTCCAACTTAGGGTTAGCAGCTTGCTCACTCCACGCGGGTTTGGTGGAAATAGTGACAGATGACGTGAGTGGGAAAAAATGACGCGCTGAAAAGTGGTGTTGACAGCTCGCTTACGTCACGTAGGGTGTTGTGAAAAGTGACAGGTGAAAAATTGGCGGGGACCACACAGTCCTTGACCTGGCTGTGGTCCTGGAACGATATACAAGTCTTTGGATTTGGGACGAGTCCTCGGTATGTCTACGAATTGGTTCTTGGTGTGATCCTCAATTTGATAAACTTTCAATCAAACTTAAGATCTATGAATTAGATAGGAAGATCTGTTTTATATGGATGGCCTCTGAAAAGTCCAATACATGCTAAAGCGATTTCTCATACTTTATTGATGTTTCTTTATTATGGAATATAGTAACGACAATGTTTCCTAACACATATATGATGGTACTACATACATCAAGTGATATTTTATGTGAAAAATTCTTGTTACCCTTCATATTCTCTTATAATTCCTTAATATTCAGTAATATAATTTTCAAGTTTTCGTTCACTTGACGACCTTCTAACTTTTTATCCAACAGTTGAAAGTCTGCTTTTTCGATCTGAAACAAATAACTTTTTGGCTTACATATTTCTTGATAGTGTCAAAGTGACATTCATAGCGTCACACATCCTAGTTACTGCATCAAATATACTAACTACTCAAATCAGCCCTTTCTTATGGTCCGGACTGTTCCTAATAGTCAGAAAACAGTTACCCAACTGAATACTGAACATGTTGCGTTAACCTTTTCAGTCCACAGCTGACTGACTGATTTTGGACGATCCGAAACAGTATAAACGGAGAACCAGAACAAACCTATGATTGAATCCAGTACCAGTCACCGTGCCGCCATGAAAAACACGTTCTGATAAGTTTGTTCGGACTGGTTGACAAGTGCGACAAGTCCAAGGTTAGTTGAATATCTCTCTTTTTTCCTTTGTATGGTCGTACTTCCCTTTTGGGTGCATTTGGCAATTTTCTTCGGCCAACAGTGGAAAAACTCGCCACCCTCGAGTTTTTCCACAATTATTTTTGTTTATTTAAAAACATCTGAATTCTTTAATGTTAATTTCGCGTTCGAAAATGGACAACTCTTGATAAACTTTCCACAAGATGAACTAAAACTACGAATGAATGAGCTTGGCACAAGACATGGAACAACACTCGATGCAATTTCCTCTAGATATCTTTCTAAGTTTCGTTCGAAAACATGTATATCTTATTTCTCATACCATAAGCGTATTGTCTCGGTCTTACAATCAACCACAGTCATCAGTGATGTATCCGATAATGAAAATAATAAATAAAATAATAAAAAATATGTTCAAAAATGTTAATTTATCAAAGAAAAGCCATAATAATTTTAAATATTTGTAGAAAATTACACACATATATATAGATGAAGCTCAAGAAAGTTTCACTTCAGTTGTGTGGTCTAAAGTTTTTTTTATTCACAACTGTTAACTTCCTAAACCCAAACCCAAACGGATCTTATAACCCACGGTTATGAAAAGGCAGTTTTTATCAAATTTCAATGGATTAACAATTAACGTTGACTCACGTTAGATCGTCCCAAAGATAACGCTTAACGTTTAACGAAGTCGAAGAATACAAGGCCCATAGAAGTTCAAAAGTGTCATTTTCGTGTTTTTCGTGTCACGTAACACTTTTATTACTTACCCTGACCACCAGAGGGCAATGGCGTCAGTATTTAATGTGATTACCAACAGAACTGAACAGTCACACTCAGATACTTCCCCAGGAGGTGGCAGCATGCGATCGTTGTCATGATCCCAAAAACAGGGTCAGAACCTGCTGTTTCCGCAGAATTATCGCCAGATCAGTCTACTCTCGTCGGCGGCTAGGCTGGCTGAAGGAGTTGTTCTCCAAAGGCTCAACGAAGAAGTTGAGGACCGAAATATTCTGCCTGATGAACAATTTGGCTTCCAAGAGAGAACACTCCACTGAGTTACAGGCTCTAAGGCTGGTCGAAAACACCATCCACGAGCTAAACACTAACAAAAAAGTACACATTGTGCTATCAGACATTTCGAAGGCCTTCGACCGTGTATGGTAAGAAGGCCTTCTGCACAAATTAATCGCGTTCGACCTACCTCAGGGCCTGATCCGGTGGATTGGCTGGCAAGCGCGGATAAAGTACCTCGGCCTTTCAATAGACCGTAGGCTCACTTGGAACCCGCATATTATGAGCGTTAAGTCAAAGAAACAGTGTCGGATAGCTAGTCTGTACCCTCTGATCAACAGAAAATTCAAACTGAGTTTGAAGAACAAAATCACCATCTACAATACGATGTTCAAGCCTGTCATCCTGTATGCTTCAGGCGTCTGGGAACAAGCGGCTACGTACAACATCTCCACTCTGGAGAGAATACAAAATAAGTTAATGAGGATGCCTGTGAATGCTCCCTGGTTCGTGCGGAATGAAGCCATCCGCAGAGATTTGAAGCTGTCCTCCATTCGGCAGTCCATTCAGTCGAGGAATCGGCGAGTTTTTGAAGGTGCGGAAACTCACGAAAACCCGTTAGTTACGGAAGCTATGGATTATGTTGGAGACGACCCCTCCCGATATAGAAGGCCCCGACACTCTGCCGAATGAGGTCCTCATGTCCCCCGTTAAAGGATGAACAGATCTTTCATCCATCCCACCCCAGCCAGGTAGGGGTATCCCATGAAGGGCGGTACTGATGTATGAGGACTTCACGCCGCCAACATCTCAGTCATGAACCCATCTGTCTTTCTTCGACAATAATCAACTGAAAGGGTAAGGGAGCTGCGTTCCAACCCGTCTGAAACCAAGATGGCTGTCGAGAACTGGGCAGTCGCTGACAAATCAGTCATCTTTTTTATTTAATTTAATTTTGGCGTACATCTCAACTTCGATATGACCCAGCCGATTGGTTGTCAGCGATTGTTAGCTACCCAATTCTGTTGATGCTCACATTTGAATACCGACATCGTACTGCCATCGCCCTTCGGTGGTCAGGGTAAGTACTAAAAACTGTACGTGACACGAAAATGCCACCTCTCAACTTCTATGGCGAAGTTGACTTTTTTAGTAACGAACTAGCGATTAACAAAGTTTATTATTTGATTAACGGTGCCCAGCTATGCAAACAAACCAAAACATATATCTGATTTGGAAATTTGAAATTTTGTTCATTTATTTGATGATTAACGAAGGGACGGACCTACCTCGTGACAGGGATCGGCTTTTCTGTCTGGTAAATGGGGGCAAATTTGAGGGGCTAAAACTCTTTCGCAAAGCGCATAAATTCCACATGAAGTTTTGAATTCAAACGTATCAGTTTCTTTCCAATTAACAAGCCATCTGAAGTGATTCACCTGTTGATTAGTGAGAGTTTTGCCCATTACCAAATTCAAACAGGATTCTAATGACTGAAAGGAAGTTTGAATAATCAAATGTAATTCATCATATTGTTTCAAAATCCTCAAGGCGAGGATAATATTCATTTCTTACTCACTTTTCCTGAAACTCGCCTTTCGTAATCGATGTCATCATCTTTGTCAATTTTATACTGATTGAAAATGCAGTTATATAAAAGCTTCCTCGATGATGTTATGTGAACGTTATCTTTTAGATACTCTAAAGGTGTTAAAGCTGAAAAATTTATTAAATCATTGACCTGAAAACAAAAGTTTTCCATACTGTCTACTCAAAAATCAGTATCATAGAACACCCAATGGAATTGACACCTGTCAATATTTTTTCCATTGGGTGTTTCATGAATACATTTCAACTCCTATGCTCTATGATACTCATTTTTGAGTTGCCTCAACTGAATATATTGGCACCATTGGTAATCTAACTTGAAAATAAAACGAAAAAATCATAATCCATGAATTTCAATTTCAAATGTTCTTGTTATTCCGTTACTTCGTGGCAAAAATTTTAAAATTAATAACTTTTATTTTGCCTGTATTGTATTGACTATAATGATTATTTTCAAAAAAGATTAATCTATAATAATTCTTCCACCATTTGCAAACAACCTTACGGACAATGTAAGTAGTTTTATTAAGCTTAGAGGTGCATATGATCAAGTTCAGGTGAAAAAACCACACCATTGCCTCTCACGTGAACCTATGACTTTGTAGGAACGTCTAGCAGATACTCGACGGAAAACGACAATTAATCCAGCTAATGCCGCGCAGAAAACTGACGAAGCCTGTCTATCAGTGGTCGTCCCGTCAAATGAAATTAACGGAAAAGCAGATTTTAAAAACAGATTTTTTTTTCATATATAGGAAGTTACTTGCGACGAATCTTCCAAACGGACGGCGTTGCACAGATGCTTGCTAAGTGTCTTCGTTATGAGTAACAAGCGGCTTCTTTTCATGGTACGCCACTGTAGTATGTATGTATACAGTGCGCATCATACGTGTTACCCCATAAAACTTCTGATAATTCCTCCATATTCTCTGTTTCACTATTACTGTAGTCATTCAAAACAAAAATGAATTTATTTACACCATTAATATAGAAGTGTCCAATCTCCATATAGTCTTTTTCAACTAAATTACTTTTTTAATCCTTTTCTGCCAGTCTTCTTCATTAATATTAGATACTTCTTCTTTAATTAGCTCTATTACGCCTGATGATTTGTTCAATTTTCCCCAAATCAACACGATGGGATTGAAAACACAAAAATAGGGGGGTCAGTATGATGTGTCCATACTTTTCAGCAATATTCTCAAGGGCATACACTTTTTCGAATGTTTTTTGTTTGAAAAAAATTCAAGTAGTTGGTTTATGGTATAGTGATCTTCAACATACAAATTGTTATCCATTAAAAAACCTTGCACTTCTCATCTTTCCTCGAATTTTTATCCGTTACTTTAATGAGCTGTCGCGAATGATACGAAGCATTGTCAAGAACTATTACATTATTCACATCCAAATTTGGGATCAATGTGTTTTCAAACCATTCCTCGAAAGTATTAGCTTCCATGTTCTTATGATAGTCAACATTGCAGTCCTCAAGTATTTTTCCACATAATTTCAAAGAATTCGAAATCTATCCTTCACTTCCTTCGCAATGCACAATGATTAGTCGCGATCCTTTGTTTGCAGGCATGTTAGGCGTACACATTATCGAACCATCCGTCCATGCTTTCGTAACTGTGTCGTGAGTGTCATACAAAGTTTCGTCCAACTAGAAAATTTTCCGTTGTTCTTGTCTATATTTAGTTATTTGTTCTAGATATTTGTTAGGCAATTTCACTATTCTTCTGCTTCTTCTTCTTTTTCCATTAATGGCTTCAGCTGTCAGGGCTATCCAGCCAGGAGTTCCAAGATTATGTTGCTACAACAGGTGGAGCCCACACTAAGGTGGATCTGAGTTGGACCCAAACCCCACCTGGTTTTGCGCTAAAACAAAGTTCGACTGTAGTTTGAGGTCAGTTAACAAGCAATGTCCGCCTGCACTAGAGTGTAAGCACTAATGTGAGGTGATGCACTACGGTTACGTGTATGGACACTACGATCAGGTCATGATTGGCGAAGCACTGCAAGCGCACAAGTATTAGGTCTGTCTTGATCACTACAGCTTTATATTGGATGCTTTATGTTAGATGGTGATTTATGTTTGAAAAATATATCGTGGAAGGTAAGAGGCTGAATGGTTGAAGGAGGGATGTATTCTTCTGCTTTCCATAACTGCTTGACGTTAGTTCATTATTTTAAATCCAAATTCTAGCTTTTTATCCAATTCTGAAGAGTTTTGCCACAGCAACTCACGTTATGGCCGGAAGTATTAGATTTCTTCCTTATGATTTCAGGTGTAGGAATCTCATTCTTTTGTAACAGTCGTATATTGTTTTTTTCAATGAATTTATCAGATGAACATCTAAATGTTTTGGTAATACTGTATCAAATAGCGTCTTGCGTTGATAAGGTTTGTTTTTGACTATTTTACGTACAGTTGAGAAAGGAATTTCAGTCAAATCTGATGTTGCTTGTAATAGTTTGTTTCCCTCGAAACAAAACTTGAGATGTAGATTCTTATATACATTGAAACATACTCTCTGTGTTTCAATATTGAAATGCATCCGAATCTTATTCACTGGTATTTCTTTTTTGCACTGTTCACCATCGCAATTGGAATCACTACACTAGAAAAAGTCTGCGTTGTTATCACACTCGTTATCACTATTAGTACTTCTCCAAGGACGCCGCATTTTAAACAGATAACAGAAATTTCAAGCAATTATAACTCCACCAATATCGAATTTCAACACTCAAATCACGATCAGTTCCTGAACTGAACCATTCCGCATTCCCCGATTTCTGTTTGTCACCGTAACATGACTTCAAATTTAATTTTATGACTCTTCAGCCAATCATAAAACTCGGTTAGTAAAAATCATCCAATACAAAACGCCAAGTCTACAGTCCACGTGGACTAGTTCCCTGCCGGTTCGTTTCTATGTATTAGTTTTTTGGCCTTTGTGAGTGTCGCCAACTTTAAGAGTGAACAATATCTACTATACCTACTGAGGTATCTGATTCAATTCCATAACGAATGTTTGGAGTACAAACTGAATAGGAAAACATGTTTTTTGTATAATTCAATGTTTATATAAAAAGTAGTTGTTTCAAATAATTTTTTTCTTTTGTGTAATACAATATTTATACATATAGAAGTAGATATTTCGAGAGTTTTTCTTCCAGTTTGTGTCTGAAAGTTACTTCATACATTTTTGTATGAAGATGGAAAAGCAGAAAGCCAAAACCTTTCTTTTCCAAAAATTATTCCGCCGATGAAATATACCCCTTTCAATTCAAAGAAAATGGAAGATATGACTATCATCATATTATAAACAAACTGTATTATTAGGCTTTGCTTATGTTTCTTACTGCTTAGCATTCGGCTATCCATCGGCAGTCCAAATATCACACTTGATCTACTGAAAGATCTAGGCAATGATAACCAAAGTTTTGAGTTGAGTGCTGGCACTTTCAACTGTTTTTGCAGATTAATGAGTTCATCACATACAGGTTTTTCCTTCTTGCTCAGCTTCAAAGCCTCCTCTAGAGCTTTTCTTCTCTGAAATTTGAAATTTTCATATCAGCATAAAATCAACCTAACTTAGTGTAAATACTTTGTAATTAAGCTCCGTATCCATAACATTCTCATTCAGTTCCCTCCTCAGTTGTTTCAACATATGAACATCTAAATAAGAATTAATGTCCACGTCTGAAGAATCTCCAATGTTAAGATTTGTTTTGTCAATAATATCGTTGTTTTCTTGGACATGACCTTTTTCTTGTGCCAGTGAATGTCGTGCACTTGGATTGTGAGATTCCGGGCCAATGGCAGCTACCTCAAAAAATTCTTCTGATTGATCAAATATCTCTTACAACGCACAAATGTATAATGATTTTTGGAAAAATATTGGCAATGAGTGATCGAACAATGAATCAATCTTGGGTTATGGCGAGCAATAACTGAATTAGCTTATATTGAGAAAGTCAACCATACGTTCAAAAAATTTGAATAAATTAAAACATTACAATAATATCTCATTATATCTAGATGAAATATGCACTGAAAATCTATGAGTCGAAGACTGTTGTTAACCACCAAGCAACACTGCCTTGGTAGAATGTGCATGCTAGTAGCTGCTAAAAAGTTACTAGCGAGACGAGCAAGAAATAATATGTATAAAATTTATCAATCTTCAGGAACATCGACCGGTCAAATTACAAAATAAAAAACACAGAAAAATTACAAAAAAAGACGAATGCTCAAGTCAATACTAGAAAATAAAAACATTATTTTACATTTTTTTTTCTCCACAAACATTGTGGAGATCAGTCAGTATCTCCTTTAAAAAACCCTAACGAAAGAAAACTCCATGTCATTATATCTCGTCTTGTCTAGGCCATACTGGTCTCACCCATGGGTATTTACTATCTGGCGAAGAACCCTCTGTATGTGAAGTGTAAAAACATATTCCAACCGAGTGCGTTTTATATCGCAACGAAAGACAAAATTATGGCTTCCCATAGTAGATGAGCAAAGCGGATTCTGTGACACCGGAAATTCAAATAACAGAAGCAATGAAGTACAGTGCGTTTTCGACAGTTTTTCGTGCGTTTTCATGCGTAACCGTACGAAAAAACGATACACGAAAAAAAACGATCGTTTTTTTTTCCTAACGCTTTTGCGTAACGTTTTTTCGTTTAACGCTTTTCGTGCAGCGCTTTCGTGGCGCAGTTGGTCAAGTATGTAATGGTTACGCAGGAAAACGCACGAAAAACGGTCGAAAACGCCCTGTACTTCATTGGTTTTGTTAGTTGAATTTCCGGTGTCACAGAATCCGCCTTGCTCATCTACTTACCATCACCACTAAAGGATATATTAGAAGATAAATGTGATAATAATAGTTTTTTTCAGTTCATTTGGACCATGACTCAAAAAACCTTTCACTATCTTAAATCATTTCCAACTTGGCCGGCTGGAAGCGTCAAGAAGAGTGTTGGAAATCTAGCGAAGAAAGGAGTATTTTTATTGGGTTTGATATTAATCACTGATTGAATAGTTAATTGTTATCAACTTTTCATATGATAGCATTTTGAGAAAATATATACTTGCGTCTCTGGGTCCAAAGATGCTTGGAACATTGGTACTCTGGATGATTCAACACCTTTCTTTTTTCTTCTCTTACCGCGCCTTCTTACAAATTCTTCATCACTATCTCCATTAACACATTCTTTTTTATCAGTTTTCTGAAATTTTTCCTGATTTACCTTGAAATAATATAGATTCATTTGAAATTCTTGATAGATTCACATATAAAATTTCAGAAATATAGACTTTTAATTGGGTCGTTAATCCATACATGAATTAATTATTCCTTCGTGTTTTTTGGGTATGCAACCTTCCACAACCTTCCTAAATCAATTGATAATCGGCCGAAGTGTAATAAAGGGCAAACTGAAAGGTTAACACCGAAAGTTAGGTACTGCCTATTATAAACCACTGAAGAGACCAATCAGCCAATCAGTCAATAATTTGTCTTATTCACAATTTTTCCTACAAATAAAATGAACGAATGAAAATATTGTATTTTTTAATCCATGTATTTCTTGATCTATGCTTAGGAAAAATGAGGTACGAGTTATTCCTAGTAAAGTACTCATGAATGTTTTTATGAATGATGTATTTTTTTATTGTCATAAACGAAAGTAATACAAACATAAATATAAATCCCATATGAAGTAAGTAATTTATTACTTTTGAAAATATTATGACAGGAATCTGTAGAGTTTTATTATACGTTTTTGTATGATGAAAATGCGATCCAAGTGAGTACTTCCACCCAAGAACATAACTCCGTATTTGAGGAAAGGATAAATTATTTGCTAAAGTTTTATCAAATATGAAAGCCAAATATTTCGTTTTTCCAAAATGTATTCTCGAAAAATTACAATCAAACTGAATTTTCAGGAATACTAATACATCTTCCAACTTTCTGAATTATACTTTCCTGAGAAACTGATTTTTTGATTCGAAGTATTATGTATTTCTGCAGAAATTTTTTCATTTTATCTTTTCAAATACTCTTTAAAGCACACCGCAATGAATTTTATCACAATTTGGCTCATAAAATGTTATGCAATACATCTCAAGTAAAAGTCACAGTCAAAGTAAAATACATGGCGTTCCAACGAAAACTTGACCCCCCCCTGTAAGTCAGAAACGGACGTTTAATCGAAAATTTTAAAGAACACGTCAACTTTCATTTCTAGGGGGACTAATTCTGATATGGAAATCATAGCTGAATCTTCACTCCCCTGCGGTCAGCAACTACACCCCTATTTTTTCGATGGCATAGGGAGTCGAGTGATACATCATTTGAAAGATCTTTTGTCCCTCTATTATTTTTGTTTTTTTTTTCGAAATTGATTCATTCGTTGTTGAGAACGTTTTATTTAAGAAAAAAAAAAAGAAAACTCGCTGTCGCTCATTTTATTGAGGAAATCAACAAAAGTAATATCAATGGCAACACAATCAACGGATAAAGTGTTCAAAATGACCTCCATCTAGTTTCATGAAATAATACAGTCTACTTTCGAAAGCGTTCCTTACATTATTGAAGATGACCGGAGTCAGAAATCGGCATTCTCGAACAATTCCTTGTTCTAGATTTGTAGAATTTATTTAATTAGTAGTAAACGTTTTGAAATGGACGACATTGTCAGTTTTTTCTGCACTGCTAGTTTTTGTTGAATCTAGTTGGTCCCGAACAAAAAGTAGACAGTTGTCCACTGTCACTTCTTCACGAATTATTATTCAGTCATCCTTGTTCACTGTGTTCCAACATGGTTTATCCTACTGGAGTAAGATTAGAAATTGTTGCAACCTATTATTAAAATAATGAATGTGCTAAAGCTGCTGCAAGAATTTATAATTCGAAGCATCCAGATCACCACGTGAGCCATCAATACGTTTAACAGTTAATGGATAAGTTTCGAACTTCAGGTTCTGTTCACAATAGAAAACATGAAGTATCCCGTCCTATCAGAAAAGACGGAGTTGAAGTTGCAGTTTTAGGACATGTACAAATGGATAATCGACAATCCATCAGACAAGTAGCTAGATCTGGTGTATCAAGTACTAGTGTTTTTCGAATTTTGAAAGCCTACAAATTCCATCCTTTCAAAATAAGGCTAGTTCAAGAATTAAACGAAGATGATCCAGATCGTCAACTTCAGTTTTGTGAGGTGTTCAGCGAGAAACTGACCAATAACCCAAACCTATTATACAATACATGTTTTTCAGACGAATGTTCTTTCATGTTGAATGGTGAAGTGAATAGACATAATTGTCGTTACTGGAGCGATGTAAATCCTCATTTGGCGATAGAAAAACATTCACAAACACACAAATTAAAAGGCTGGGTCGAAATTCTTGGTAATCATATTCTTCATGGAAGATTATCTCAATGGAGACACATACTTAGATCTATTACGAGACTGTATAGGTCTTATGATTACACACATTTTAGAAAATGATGACAATTTAGTAGAAAATGAATAACATTTCAGTAGGATGGTGTACCCCCACATTTGATGTTCGAGTGAGACAGTTTTTGGACGACCGTTTTCCAATGCGTTGGATCTGCAGAAGGAGTCAAGTGGTGTGGCCAGCTATATCACTTGATCTCACACCAATGGACTTCTTTCTGTGGGGACACCTGAAGTTGAAAATGTACTCTACTAAGCCTACAAATCTAGAAGACCTGCGACAGAGAATTGTTCAACAAAGCCGATTGCTGACTCCGGGACATCTTGAATAATGTACGGAACGCTTTCGAGAATAGATTGTATTATTGTATGGAACTAGGTGGAGGTCATTTTGAACAATTTATTCGTTGATTTTGTTTCCACTGATATTATTTGTTGTTGGTATCCTCATTCTGGTTAAAAAAAATCTGTTTAAAATCTGTTTTTCCGTTAAAATGAACGACAGCAAATTTTCTGTTTTTTCTGAAAGAAAATTTTCAACATCTAATTTCTCAATAACGAATGAACCAATTTCTAAAAAAATTACAGAGGTAATAGGGGGACAAAAGACCTTTCAAATGATGTATCACTGGACCCCCATGCCATTGAAAAAAATAGGGTGGTGAAGTTTCGGGTATGACTTCCACATCAGAATTAGTCCCCAATTGGAAATGGTATACTTTTTCTTACAGTATCTGAACTTCTGTTGGTAGCAGGACATTTTGTATTCGACAATTGAATTGCTGGTTCTTCAACTTCTTCCTGTTTGGTATCTTCTGAAGGGTCTGGAACCGTAGGAGCTTGCTGAATACAGATTGGTGGAGGTTCTTGAAACATTGAACTATTCCCGTAAAATGGAATAGTTTCCTACGAAACAGAATGAAATTATTTCATGAGTGGTTGAGTAGTATATTATATATTGTACTTGACTGTGACTTCTTCTCAAATCCAATACTAACAAAGTTTTCTCTGATTTTTGCTTTGCTGAAGGATCGGGAGTGACACATCTCCTAGAATTTGATGCTCTTGTTGCAGCACTGGTAAGTGTTGGTGCAGGAGTTTGTGGTCTAGAATCCTTCTCGGTATATCTCGGTAGAAATAAACAAGTGTCATTGTCATTGAACATGTTAACATGTGATATTTTTCATTTTCCAAAATTAGGTAAGTTCAAATGAAATCAGTTCAAGTTGAACATGGTATATTTTTAGGAGACTGATTTTTAGGAAATAAAGGTTTTGGCTTTCTACTTCTTCACTAGTATACAAAGAAAAATTGGGAATCTTTCAAAGAAACAAAGAAAGCAATTAAGTTTCAAAATAAACTTTTTACAAAGACGTGTAGATCATGCACAGAAGTAAATATCAGATACAAACTAGAAGAAAGAGCCCTCTTGAAATAACCACTTTCATATAAACATGAAATGAAAAACTCTTGAAACATCTACTTTTATACGAACATTGAAATATGTAGAAAACACTTTTTTTCTATTCAGTTTTTACTCCAAACATTCGTTATGAGTAAGAAGTAGTTTCTTTCAGGATTATTCAGAGCAGCTATTATGCAGAGTGCATGTCCTTTGACTTGTTGGGCCTTACAGAAATATCCGAAATATGCTGCAAAATTGTTGGGATCTCTTCTGAAGTGGAATTCTATGATTCTATCAAAATTATAATCAGCCACGGAAAATTTTTCATCGGATGATTTGCTGAAAAGTTTACAGAGTACTTCAATCGCAGACCTCAAAAAATATTAAGATATCAGTGTAAGTACAAAATCACCAAAACCTTTGGGTATACTCGTAGTTGAATAAATACTCAATCAAAAACAAAAATTGTAAGATAAAGATCATTATTACAATTAGAGAAAGAAAAAGACTCACTTTCATGGTCTCTTCAATTTCTGGAACAGATAAAAGGGGGTCAAATCTGGTGGATACGGTTGCTGAAGCATAATAACGATATTGCTTTTGACCAGAGAATTACGAATGAGCAGACGTTTTCTTTGTATTGCTTCTTGCAAGCAGCGCTTCAAGATAACACCCTGACTGATGTACGACCATGTAGCAAGAACTCCTGATGCACTACGCCACGATAATCAAAGAAAACATCAATACCGTTTTGTGTACAGGAACTATCAGATTATAATTTTGCCTGAGAGTATAACCAGCAGCTATGCGGATAGTATCCCTTTGCTGAAACTCATGGTAATGATTCTTAATGTAAGTGACACAATTCAAAATATACATGGATATTACAGTTAAAATCTGTTACTCAGTAAATAACTGCTTACAAGAATCACCATATTTTATGAAACACATGGTTCTTAGTATCTTTTTTTGAGCAATCAAATACTTCAGTTGTGTAGTCTAAAGCACAGTCGCTTTTTTTTATTCCTAACCTGTTAACTTCCGAATCCAAACGGATCTTATAAGTAGATCTTCAACACACGGTTATTAAAAGGCAGTTTTTATCGGATTTTGATGGATTAACAATTAACGTTAACTTGCATTAAATCGTCCCAAAGATAACGAAGTCGAAGAATACAAAGCCCATAGAAGCTCGGAAGTGTCATTTTCATGTCACGTAACATTTTTATTACCTACCCTGACCACCAGAGGGCAATGGCGTCAGTATTTAATGTGATTATCAATATCAATAGAACAGGGCAGTCGCCCTCAGATACGAAAATGCCACGTCTCAACTTCTATGGGCTTTGCATTCTATGGCGAAGTCGACTTTTTAGTAACGGACTAGCGATTAACAAAGTTAATTATTTGATTAACGGTGCCCAGCTATGCAAACAAACCAAAACATATATCTGATTTGGAAATTTGAAATTTTGTTCATTCATTTGATGATTAACGAAGGGACGGACCTACCTCGTGACAGGGATCGGCTTTTCTGTCTGGTAAATGGAGGCAAATTTGAGGGGCTAGAATTCTTTCGCAAAGTGCATAAATTCCACATGAAGTTTTGAATTCGAACGTATCAGTTTCTTTCCAATCAACAAGCCGTCTGAAGTGATTCAATTGTTGATTAGTGAGAGTTTTGCCCATTACCAAATTCAAACAGGATTCTAATGACTGAAAGGAAGTTTGAATAATCAAATGTAATTCATCATATTGTTTCAAACTCCTCAAGGCGAGGATAATATTCATTTCTTACTCACTTTTCCTGAAACTCGCCTTTCGTAATCGATGTCATCATCTTTGTCCATTTTATATTGATTGAAAATGCAGTTATATAAAAGCTTCCTCGATGATGTTATGTGAACGTTATCTTTTAGATACTCTAAAGGTGTTAAAGCTAAAAAATTTATCAAATCATTGACCTGAAAGCAAAAGTTTTCCATACTGTCTTAATGGAAAAAATAAATGTAGTTTTACATTGACCATGCAATAGAAACTAGTCAAAAAGGTTGAAAGTTATTGAAAAATAGATAATGAACTCGTTATAAAGGGGTTGGTATAGCCCAACTCATGTGTGATAGATAAACATTTTTTTTTGATAACTACTATGGTTTTTCAGGAACAATTGAAGTTTTGTTTATTAACGCGCCCCTCTGTATTCTCCACTGAAACACATTACTGAGGCTACAGAAAAATAAATTAATTAGAATTCAATTGTATGTACCTACGTGACTGAGCCTGAAAGGGGTATCCTTACAAAAATCAGTTTATTATCTGAGTTTTTCACAATTTCGAAAAGCTGGAGTAAATATATATAGTGTTTGCTGAATAGTTAGAAACAAAATTACTGAACTATTGGAGTACGCAGCATGCAAAAAATCATCATTATCATCATTAGGTAACTACAAAAATAAAAATATGTGTTGTTAAAAATGCTGAATCTTCAAGAGAAAATTGAAATCGTTTTAATATGCGGCGAGAATACCGGTCACCGACAAGTAGCTGATATTTTCAATGCCAGACATCCTGCAAGAAATATTCATCAGTCAACAGTTAGTAGGATAATAGCTAAGTTTAAATCTACTGGCTCGGTTGAGAGTAATTTTAGAAAAGCACATCATTTGAAAAAATTGAGGGTTGTACCTGTCACTTGAAGGGGGTTGAAGGTAGGGGTAGCATTTTCCCCCTGAAGTATGAAGTATGAACTTTCCAGCACAACTTTCGATTGGTGTTTTGTGGAAACATTTATAATAACTTTAATTTTGAGTGGGTGGTGGCCATGGCGTTTCAACTGTTATACATTTCCAGGATCACCATGCTGAAATAATTGTATTTCCTGAATATGGTTTCACCGGAATAGTTGAAGATCCTACCAATTACGCTTTAGAAGTTCCCGACGTTGGTGCACAAGTCACACTAATCAAAAAGGTGAGTATAAAAAATTACTGTGAAAGTGGCAGAGAGAAAAAGAAAGCGATTTCTTTTTCGGTCGACGCAGCTTGACTTTGCAATGGATTACCGTGGTTTGAGTGTAGTGTCAAACTTATGTGTATTGTTTAATCGAATGAAGTGACGGAATTGGAAAATCTGAAGTGAGGAAAAATTTTAGGCAACAATAATGATCATGATAATAATAATTATAACAATTTATTTCCTGAAACACATACACTGTTTATGATAGGAAGAAAGAACAATATAAAAAGAAGAAAAAAAGTTTTAACCAATTTCCTTGAATAAAAATGTATGAAATAATATTGAAAATATTGATGATAATCTAATAGTTTATTACAGAAGGTATTTTCTTGGATTCGCTTTGAATTTTTTTTGCTGACTTTTTTAAAGAATGTGGCAAATTGATCTAATATACAAAAACTCTTAGATTTCTTGAATACCTTGTTGAATAATTATGTCGATCACTGATTATTTCGAAAATCAAATTTGAGCAATTCAATTTGTTTTCACTGGACTTTCCACATGTTTATTGATGAAATAGATGATTGAATAAATAGATTTTCAATTCCAAGCTTCTTATAAAAAATATCGGTATCAAAAACGCATCTTTCAGAAATATGTTAAAGAGTTCTTACTTTTAACGCTCGATTTGTAGCAATGTGCTGTTTGGTGTATGTTGTGTTATCACTATGATCTTAAAGTTTCAGATTTTGTACAAAATAGCTCAGGCAGCAAAGGATAAACTATATGTAGCGATGAATTTCTTGGAAAAAGTACCGAAGAGCAAGAATGAAACAATTTACTACAACACTAATGTTGTTTTTGATAAAAATATGACAGTAGTAGCAAAGTAAGTAGTCATGTGAATGGCACATGTTTTAAGTGACTTCATAAATGAAGGCTATGGCCTGAAATTGCAGTAGTCAATGGCGTTTTATTCCAGATACCGAAAAGTGAATTTGTACAACGAACCGAAGTTGACTCCTGGCGATCCAAACCAAAACACTTCCATTTTCACAACTGATTTCAATGTGACATTCGGAATGTTCATTGGTTACGATATGCTGTCATACAATCCATCCAGAAGTATTCTGGAAAATTCATCGATCACAGATGTTATTCTTCCCACTGCTTGGTTCTCCACATTACCATTTTTCCATTGTGAGTATAAATACGTTTGTTTATATTAGTTGAAATGTTTTTGAAATCAGAGTATTTGAAAAAAAGGAAGTTTCTAATTACCGATATAATGGCACATCACATATCGATGCTACACGCGTGTTGAAGAAAGGTGCAATTGCTTTTGTTTTGTTTTACGAAGAAGGTCAAGGTCGCTTAACTCAATATATACAGGCTGATTCACGGTGGATGGCACATTAGACGTTTCTGGTGAACCAGACAACGGATCACTTTGAAAATTTAACGGAGGGCATATTCGGACATTCTCTAGCCAACTAAAATATTTTCGACAATGCGGTGTTGCCGCTTCTATTAGAAANTTGTCTGGTTCACCAGAAACGTCTAATGTGCCATCCACCGTGAATCAGCCTGTATATATTGGGGTATGCAGCATGCAAAAGAATAGGACATTTTTTTCAATATTTCGACACTTTTCATTGTTATAATCAGGGAAACTACAAAAGTGAAAATGTACTATTTACATAGTGGTTAAGTTTTGATAAAACTACTTACATTGTCCGTGAGGTTGTTTGTAAATGGTAGAAAAATCATCACATATACCTATGTACAAGAAAACATTCAGGTAAACAAATACTCAAGTCGAATGACGTGGGTACTGGCTCCGTGGTCTAATGTCACGGCACAATGGATTTTAACAGTGAAATTCTGTGTACTATGTTCATATATTCGAATACTCTATCTTCGATAATTATACTTTCGAATGTTCTGGTTGAAATTTCTCATTATTCAGGTAACAGAATTGATTTGATCTGATAATTGATTTTTTTCTTTGAAAACTCTTCATGAGTTTAAGGAAAATTATCGGTATTGATGCTGCTAGTGGATTTGCAACTCATATTTAGCCACTGATATAGACCGTCCAATATAACTCAAACGACTTTTCTCAAGTATTGCAATTTTTCCACTAGTTTACCTCTTTTCTCTTGTTATCGCTGATATCTTTAAACTAAAACTGCTCCGTCATAATATATCCAGTAATGTTTTTGGTAAACAATCCATCACACTCTCAATTACAGTATTATCCATCGTTGCTTTCAAATCATAAAACTTGATAGGATAAGATTGGTTTTCCACTGTTTGTCAGGACCTCACTTGCCAGCAAGGCAACAATAACAACTGTTGTTTTTAGTATTCATAAATCATTCCTTTATTCTAATATTTTGTTATATGCAGACGACTTGAAAATATTTAAAAAAATTACCTCCATAAGAGACTGTTTAAAAATTCAGGAAGACCTTGCTAGATTTGTAATATATTGTGATATGAATAAGCTGAAACTCAACGTGGAAAAATGTACATGTATTTCGTTTTATAGAAATCATTCACCCATATTGTTTCAGTATTTGTTGAATAGTATTGCATTAAATAGAGTAGAATATATCAAGGACCTTGGAGTATACTTTGACACAAAATTGAATTTCAATCGCCATGTTGAATATGTCATAAATAGAAGCAACAGAACACTGGGTTTCTTCAATAGAATGTGCAGAGACTTCAACAACGAAGCCGCTATTAAAACTATCTATTATGCATTTGTTTATAGCAAGTTGAATTTCGCTAGCATTATATGGAATCCNATCGATAATTCAAATCACTTGCTGTAACTTTCGTTCGTTCCAAGTTCCAAGGAAAGTTCAATTTTTGAAAAGTTTTTAGAAGTAAGGGATATAAAGTCATAAATGTCTTTATTTTCTATTTGTATAATTTCCCTTCTATTACCCGTTTCATGTTCTCTTCATGTAACGCTGGCTTGTTTAGAGTCCTTCCTATTTCCTTCTTAACATCAATCAAAATATTGTCATTGAAGAATAATGAAAAATTTTCCTGGTCTGTTGAGTGCCCTGAGACGAAATCTTCCCCACACGGTTACTGTGTGCAGAACACCTAGTTCATCTACCCCGCTCTTCCGGAGCGATCCTCAACTTACATCTGATCTGCTGCGGTCGAAAGCCAGCCTTTAGGTGCTTTCTGTTTTCTCATCTTGTATTTCATTAAATCATGACTTTACTTGAATGTAATTTATTGCATGGGGCCCCCAAAAACTAACCGGAGACGAGTGACTTTATATCGCGAACAAGTGCTTCCCAATGAGTCTGAAAAAAATTGGATTTGAAGTCTGGTTGAGAAGTTTTTATACTTACCGGAGCCGTCTGATAGTGACTCTTGCGGGTGATCTCTGATTCTGCTTGGTTGGCCTCTTGTGTTCTCTCTCTCTCTCTCCTTTTGAGTGCTTCGTGTAGGGTGCGCAGCGCTGGATAGTTGTGGGATCGAACTCTTTCAAACAAGTTTTATGTGTTTTCTCTGATATACGCGCCTATGTAGTGGATGTTCAGGTCCAGGTCTCGGTATATGCATCTATTTGGTAGCATTTACAGCGGCTCGCACGTAACCCTTCATAAACGTCTGGATACTGCGTTTGTATTTCGCTGCGCACTGGCCCCAGGCAGTACAGTCATACAGGATGATTGGGCATAGTACGTTCTTGATTAGCAGCAGTTTGACGTGGAGTACCATGTTGCTTTGCGACTTATAATCGGATATAGGTTTTGTCTGGCGGCTCTCGCCAGCTCTAATCTCTGCGGTACGTGGGCCTTGAAAGTAAGTCTTCTGTCGAGGGTGACTCTCAGTTATTTCGCTTCGTTGGTGCACGGAATCTCTTGTCCGTTGAAGGTGACGTTTTCTTCTGGGTGTACCATTCTCCGGGTGATCAGTATTGCCTGACTCTTGTCAGGGTTTATGCTGAACTTCCAAAGGTTGGCCTATTCCTCTAATCTGTCCGCCTGCTGTTGCAAGTATCTGGTAACTTGCGCAAAGCTAGTTGATCTCGCCAGAAGAGCTGTGTCGTCCGCGTAGAGTGCCAACTTCTTAAAGTTGTTCTCAGGCTTCGGCACGTCTGCTGTGTATACCGAGAAGAGGTGTGACGAAAGGATTGCACCTTGTGGGACCCCTGCTTTCAGTGATCGCAGTTGCATACTAATATGAGTATGAAATTATTATATAGGGTGGTGACTGGCTTAGTCGCTGTAAATACACAAAAATTCCCAGAAAAGAACTACCTGTAAAGGGTCAGG